ACTTATTACATATTTTAATCTTTAATCACAACGTCTCTGATATGCATGAAGCCTCCTCTGGACATCGAGTCACTGTTAATGAAGTGAGAAGTTAGAAATAGCAGCTTACTTACGTAATTCAAACTCATTTTAAGAGCTAACATTCTTAAATATATAATTCTGTCTATCAAGATGATGGTAAACACACCTTTTATGTTGTGTTGGTTCCTAAGTAGAGGTATTATTGTTGTATCATCGTAAGACTGTTGTAAATAAATAAGAATATACGAAAAGAGTATGAGGTTATTACTAGTTACTCTGAGTGTGGGGGAACACAGAGAGAGAGAGAGTCGGGGGGGATTAACCAACGAAGAAGAAAGATGGCGATGAGAGAAAGGTCCGCCCTCAGAGGAAGGTCAGAGAACAAGAGACTGACAGACAGCTGATAACCACGATGACAGCTCAGAATGTGTGTGTGTGTGTGTGTGTGTGTGTGTGTGTGTGTGTGTGTGTGTGTGTGTGTGTGTGTGTGTGTGTGTGTGTGTGTGTGTGTGTGTGCCTCAACTGTCAGAAAGGAGTGTGAAACATCCTTTTGAAGTAAAAGACAGAATTGACTGCCGCTTTCATCCTCTGCCATGACACACACACACACACACACACACAAGATCNTTGTTTCAAGACCCGCATCAGAAAGCTTTTGAATGGTGGTACTTTTCCAGAAGTACCTAAACGACGACATGCAGAGCTACGTGAAGAGCAGGTAGACGAACTGGAAAAGTACCACCATTCAAAAGCTTTCTGATGCGGGTCTTGAAACAAAGCAGAGAAATTATGAGCGTTAGTGGCCACAGGTGAGAAAGCTCTCTCCAGAGCTACTGGAAGCCGAATCTCGGGGACCGGAGAAAGTGAAAGTGGACCACGCCAAGCAACAGCCTAGAACAACCTCAACCTATACAAGTGACCACGTAAGCCATGCTACTGATGCTAGACAGTTTTTCAGTGGCTGCACAATAAACAGCAACATACACATTAATGTAAATAAACAGCCAAATAATGGATCAACACTCTCTGTCTAATATGTTCGCTAGCTGTTAGTGTTGTTGCATAGCAACCACCTTGCACAATGTTTTGTGCAGAAGGCAACGGAGGGACTTATTTTATTTTGAACATCATTATTTACTAATAAAAACTATTTAAATTAGAGTGTGTATTTTTCTTTCATATTGCCACACTTGCTAACCGTTTTATAAAAGCTAAGGGGGTTGTCAACCCTCCGCTTCGCGTCGGGCCAAACCACGCCCCTTAGCTGTGATATAATGAGCATATACCACGGCCTGTCGTGAGCTATTGCTTAAGTATAAACTTATGGGGTTGGGTTTTCAGCATGTGTCCCTTTTTATGCTATACAGTTCAGTTTTGATTCCATCATCTCATTAAACCTTTTTTAAAAGCATACTTTAGTTCTGTGAAGGGATATATGCAGTGTACTTCACTTTAATTAATATTGTATGCTGAAAAACGTATATTACAGCACGATTTTTTGTTGAATAGATTTGAGTGGTTCAAAATTTTGGGTCGCGATTTATTGACAAAGAAAAAAGTGGGTCCCGAGGCCTGACCAGTTGAGAACCACTGATTTAGAGCAACTCTATATAAAGGTGTATTTTAAACACAGCTTGACTCTTAACAATTTCTGGTTCAACAAACAAAATGAGAAGTACTGATTGAGGCAACCCATTCTCCTGCTTTCCATTTAGAAAGTATCCATTCAGAAACAGAAACAGCAAATTGGATACAAATGGATAAAAGATGGAAGAATAATTGGTTACTAAACATGGGCAGCAGTGGTGGAATGAATACTTAGATTGATGCTGCTTACACAAAAGTCCACTTAAAGTTTTTAAACGTTATGTTCGTGTCTTTTGGCAGAGAACGGATTCACTACATTCAACTGTTTTGAAGTTTATGTGGCCTTCCTGTTTGCAGAAAACAAAGATTTCTTAGCCATTTATTCTCACTCGTTCACTCCTTAGAGCTAGACTGATGCAGGCTGGGTTGATATAAATAATATACTATATACTCTGATATTAGTTGGTCAATAATATGTTAGTAATAGGGCTGCACAATGTCTTTTATTATTGTCATTTCAATGTTAACTTGCACTACAGAAAAGCTGCAGAATGACATAACTGAGTCAAATGTATTATTTTTGTATGTCTAGTAACTAAGTTACATCATTATTGTGATAATCAAAAACGTAATTGCATATTTTCCTCATTTCCTGCAGCCCTGATTAGTTTTAAAGTTTGAGTAGCTCACAATTACAAAAGAAACATCAGTACAAAAAAGCAAAAGAGAAAATAATTGTAAGTAATTTAGAAGCAGTAGATTCACCATGGAAAAAAACAATATTGGCTGATATATCTCTCATATGTCAAAGCCGTCAGCCAGAAAATTCATAATGGGTCGTCTTTTATTCATCGTCTTATCTCAGCAGGTTGGCTGTTTCATAGACACTTAATCAAGCCTAAGTTATTACAGAATGCTATGTTCAATGAGGTTCATTTATGTGCATTTTGTTTATTTAGGAGTACTTTTTATTTTCTCTTATAAATTAAAAATGTTCTGTGTTTCCTCCTTGTCATGAAAATGAATGTAAATGTTGATACATATGCATAAAATAGTTGAACATAAATATTAAATGGGTTTGAAAATAGCCCCATTCCAGTATAATCTATTCGAGGTTCCCTTTATGTCGGCTGATAACTCCCTAAATACGGCAGGCAGCAGAGTTGGGACATTAAGTCCAAAAACTTTTTGAGAAATTAGAGATTATTCATTAACAAAAATGTTAAATACTGTAGAGGAAACCTTAGGAGGGCAATTCCTCTCCTTGCCCCTGAATCCACTGATCTTGGGGAGGTTTAAGAAAGGGAATAACAACTCCAAAAATAAAGAATAAGTGCTCATACTGTATATAATACATCCAACCCGCCATCTGTAACAACTTTACACCAGTGGGTAAAAATGTGTTACTGCTATCCAACACCTCACAGAGAGCAACACCACACTGCAGCAACTGTTGCATAAGCCAAACACAGTGAATGTTCAAAGTTATACTATTTATCAAGCAACAGGGAATCACTAAACTTCAGTGTAGAGTAATTATAAACAAATTGCTTCTCTTATTCCTCCAAAAGAACACCCTATGGAGTATGAATTTTAACAGGGGGGTCGGAGCAGAACAGCTTGCAGCAGCAATCCTGGAGAAGGCAGAGTCCACTGACTAATATATTCTATTGTACCCCAAGCCACAATTTGATCCTATTACATAATTAGACTGAGACTACTGGGTTAGAGAGGCTGTAAAATGGATTGTGTTGGCTGATTCACAAATGAGGTTAAAGTCATCTGCCGCAGACCACAGCACCCACTGAGTTGTTTTATTCAGCCTTTGAATGGAAATACTAATGTCTTATGTGCTCAATTTCTCTGTTTGAATAAACAAAGGCTAAATAGAACGCATGCAAACAACAAGAAAGTGCTTCTTAATATGCATATTACGGTGCATGCAAATGAGTAAGCCACATCCACCCACAAGGTGCATTATTATGCATTATTAACATATGCAGTGGGAACAGAAGACACACTAGCGCAGCAGTCAACACATTCATACAAAGACACACACTCACACACACACACACACACACTTTCTTCTCCGGTACCTGTGGATCTGATGCGTGTGGGCTCTAACGCCCTGATGTTGACTCACTGCATACCTGCCACATTGCAAATGACGGCACTCTATTGACTTTCTCCACAGAGGGAACGGTCTATCTTGGGAGACATGAAGGGAGCTGTCCACCAACCAGAGGCTCAACAGACAACACGTTTTGATCTGTCATGCAAGTGTCAGATAACAGGTACCATACAATCTCAACAGGGGCTGTATGGGCAAAACTCAGGGTGTCTATCCTCTTTTAATGATAGTATAGCTTAAGAGCAGGAGAGAGAGGGGGTGACATGCTACGAAGGGCGAGGGTTGGCAGTCAAACGCTGGGCTGCTGTGGCAAGGACTAACACACACAGGCATGAAAAAAATCTTTCAAAGCTTCGCCCATTCACTTGAATGGGGTGACGTAGAATATTTTTTATCTTCGCCGAACTGCATTGTGGGGAGCGGAGCATGGCTTTGCAAGCATCGTGAGCATCAAAAGTTGAGCAATGTTCAACTTTTGATGCTCCCGATGTTTTCGAAGCTGGCATCAGCCAATCAAATCCCGTTTATGCAAATCTCGCCGGTACAAGCGCTAGCCAATCAAACCGCGTGCAAGCTGGGAGAGACAGACCGTTCATTTCCTCATATTCCAAACGAGAAATTACGGTAGCAAATCACCCGGTTCTTTACGACCAGAACTATTTACCGGGATACAAACCGGAGGAACCAGGCATGGAGGGAGGTGGCAGAGACAGTGGGTGAAACTGGTAGGTTTTCGCCTGTTTGGGGAGTTTATATCCAGTTTTTGTTTTAACATTGCTATTGCTTTATATGTCGGGGGCAGGAGATTCATGTGATTGGTCGCAAAAAATCGCCAAGCTTCAGACACGCCCAGCATCAAGATTTTTCAAGATTTTTTTCATGCCTGTGTGTGGACGGGCCGTTAGGCTTTGAATATCGGTTGCACTGTTATGAGAGTAATTTTTTAGAACTATCCAATGTCTACCATAGGGTTGCAACAAACAGTTTTTGTTCATTTATTAGCTCTTCATTTAATCAATGGCAATTTCAGTCCGTCTGAAATAAATCAAACTATTGGATGGATTACCATATTCATGTCCCCGACACCATAAACTGTTTTTCTGACTTTCCTTCTAGTGCCACCTTTAGGTCAAAATGTGCTATACTACATGCTCATTAGCCTCATCTGTACTTTGTGTTGTTTTGGGGGATATACTGATAGGAATCCCAAAATAATCTCCCAAAGCTCTTTTTATACTGTGTTGGCCCTCTATCTGTTGCTCTACGTGCAGCATATGGAAAGACTGGCTTCGCTCACAAGCTGATAAGGGTCAAAAGATCATGAATTAATGGCAGAGAACGATGGACTCAGCCTGCTGCAGGCTCCAGGAACGTAGCGTCAGGAGCAGCACTGAAGCACAGCCAGGGTGTTAAACTCTGATGTTTGAACTCTACATGCATATAAAATCCTTCTGATTCCCACTTTACTCAACCCCTCTGACCTCACTGACTGTAGGAGCAAACAACACATGCAGCCTTCCTTTTAGGTAACTCTTAGCAAGTCTTGCTATGTTTCCGGCTGGTAAAAGACGAGTTTCAGGCTTTAAAAGACTCTTCTTCATCGTGGAAACATACATCTAACTAAAAACACAGACTACACATGCAGGCAAATACACTCTCGCACACACACACACACCTGAGTGAGTTCCTGTTCTCCCAGATCCCATTTCTTGATGCCGTTGTCTCTGGACCCACTGAACAGCACATCTCCCTGAACAGCCAAACACTCGATGCCGTCATAATGGGGAGGCTCAAAGTTGTGAGCTGGACCTATATTACCCATAGTTCCCTCTGTCACGTCAAACACCTGTAGAGAGAACAGGAAAAGGGGATATTAAAAGATGTAAATCTGCAAATGTGACACTCAGGTATGGTCTGAACATCTGAGAGTGTGTGAATATGTGTGTGTCTGTGGTACCTTGACATAATGGTCCTTGGAGCCAGTGATTACTTGATCTTTGCCCATTAGAGACTGTCCCACTGTCAGACAGATGACAGAGCCGATGTGGCCCATCAGCTTCCCCATCCCTTGCATCCTACACACACACACACACACACACACACACACACACACACACACACACACACACACACACACACACACACACACACACACACACACACACACACACACACACACACACACACACACACACACACACACACACACACACACACACACACACACACACACACACACACACACACACACACACACACACGTGTAAAGGAGGTGAGGCAAAGCACTGTGAAATTCATTACTTCTAGAATCAGATTTTCAAGGTTTCACCGTATGAAATCACTTTCCGTCTCTCGGGTGGGGCAAAACTGCTGAGACGCAGTGATGCCATAGGCAGACTGTTTAAAACATTCATTCTTCATTTCTGGGGGTTGTTTTGCATCATTAGGTGGGTCTGAGCCCCTCAGCGTAAACTGTCTAATCCAATCTGTTAATAATTTCCCTCTGGATGCATAAAAACTAAGGGGAAGACTGGGATTTCAATGGTTGCATTGTAGAAAGCATACTCATGTATACACCAGCGCTGAGTTCATGCACTTTCTGTTGACAGCCTTCTTAAACTCAAGACGGAATCGGCTCTTTGGTTGATTAACATCTGACAAGCGAATATATACATCCACGTCTACAAGAATTAAGAGCTGGCTGTCTTGAAGCTGACTGAACTAATTCATTTTGGATGACTAACACAAACGTCAGTGGAGGAATTGATGAACACACGTGACTGACTTAATACTTAAACAAACACTTAGAGGAGTAGTTACATAAATAAATGAACCTATGTGTCGGTTAATAAATGTACCTGTTGAGGTCCCACATGCGAACAGTGTTCCCAGCAGCAGCGTAGAGCACGGATCCTGACGGGTTCAGGGCAATCTGGTTAATCTGACACTCGCCCTGTGCAAAGGTGATCGTGCGGGTGGTGGTGCCCGCACAGGCATCCCCTGAGACCACCTGTCCAGACGAACTGTGGGGGTAAAGAGAAGAGTATAAGGGGGACATGAGGTGGAGAAATAAATGGGAACAGAGACAAGTGTACTGAGCAGAACTTCCAATTAGTCAATTCAGCTTGAGGCGTTTCATATCATATTTCTCCACTTTTTTGCATATTGAAACACATCACTGAACTGAAAAAGCATACTATCCTTAAATCACTTCTATGAAATATTATACAGTTTCATCTGGCTGGTTGCGGGCAGGAAACTTACGTGAGCGTGCGGACACACTTGGCAGAGTCTCGGATGTCCCACACCTTGATGTAGGAGGTGGAGACGGAGAAGACTAAACAGGAGGAAGGACTATATTTGATGGACACTACGTTGTTTGGGTGGCCTTTGAGGGTGACGATCTCTTGACCCGTTACCAGGTTCCACATCTTACAGGTGCGATCTGCAGGACAAGAGAAGGGATGTTCAATAACTATCTTGAGGGTGGTATTTTCCAAAATGCTGATCTAATCTTAAAGCGCTGTATTTGTTTTCATATGACAACACTTAAGTTATCTTGTTATTTTCTTCAAAGCAAATAATATCCATTTAAAAGATCTTTAAAAAAGTATTTATACAGTTTAGTAAAGTTCAGTATGTGTACCTTTAGATCCAGTGAATAGCAGCTCATCGGTAGCATCCACACACAGGACGGGCTTTGAATGGCCCTCGGCTACAGAAACACACTGCAGGGGCGCCGTCCGACCCCCCTTCACACCCCCAATGGGATTGATCACACCCCTAAAATGCACACACGCATTTGATGTCACAGTCTTGTCAGTATGAATCAGTGAGGGAGATTTCGTTCCACATATCTACATTTATGCATTTATGTAAATCACAGACAGATTATGAACATGCACACAAAAACACAAACATTCATTCTATTATACAGAGACAATACCAACCCATACTGAAAAAACAAAGATGATCCACACTCGTTAAAATAACTATACACAAATCCAATCACTCAAATTCCTGTTGTTGTTTATTTTATCCCACCTGCTCCATTGAATCACCCTTTCTGCTTTTGTTGTAGACAAGCCCAATTAAGGCACTAGAGCAGTAAGAGCAGCTTTTCTTCCTGTCTTTCTGTCTCCCCCTCTCTCTTACACTTACACGCACACACGCACACCAAGACATACATGCATAAAAACACACACAGCCTCCCCTCTGTTATATGTGCATTCCCTTTCTCTAGCTGAACCTCTGCCCTCCTCTCACCCCGAATCGATGTCCCACTGACAGACAGACGAGAGACCAAGAGTGCCTGGAGAGCAGTCAGCGGAGTGAGACAGCAGGCAGAGGGTGAGAAGAACAAGAGGGAGGAATGTGGGAAAATTGGTCCCCGGTGGGCTTCCTAATAACACCAGTGGTGGTTAGTGTGTATGTGAGTGCATATCTGTGTGAGAGGGTAAGGTAGAGAGTAAAACAGTGAGGAAAAGCCGGAGGATGTGAGGAGGAAAAAGAGAATCTGTGAATACACACAGAACTCGGGGCAGGTTTTGTTTCTGCTGAGAAAAATACAGAAGGGTGTGCATGAAACTTGTCAAATATGGAAACATGCTCCTCGTCTGTGACTGCACATACGCTGATGTCCCAGCGTGACAGCACACACACAACACCTAAATTAAATATTAAACCATACTGCCTGCGTATCTTACCTAACATTGCAAATGCCAACCAAAGTAAAACACTGTCATTCATCAGCCAATGAAAAAAGATTGCATGCATGTCTGCCAAAACTCACAAAACTCAACAAAGGAAAACCAACTTGTGTAGAATAAGCTCGAAAACAATTGTTGACAACAGCCACAGCCTGGGAAACCAACTACATAGCAGCCCGCAACTCAAAATAAACCACAGCACAATGGCGTGAGATGTCACCATCACCACATGCAACATTCATTCTCCACAAGTCAGTTGGTAACTGACTCAGTTCAGCAACTCCACAACCATTTGCCTTTTAGAGCCTCGGGGAAAAGAGTATGTGGTACATGAGGGTGCAGAGATGTATCAAGTTGATATCATGGTCAGATTATCAGATTCTGCTCCTCTGCAGACAGTGACTGTGATGGCAGGTGTATAGAATTATTGGAGCGTTGCATCGATCTGTCCCACCCGCATTTTGGTCCAATTTCATTTAGTAAAGACTGACGATAGAACACAGGTATTTATTTGATAACATACGAGGGGGAAACCAAACATGTGACTAGAGATGTCCCAAAATGATCCCAAAAATCAATGCTCAAGACACTCTATAAGTGATTGGTAATCAGCATCCCACAGTGTGCTCCACTCTGCTGAGTATGAGTCTGTTGATTTATGTGATTTCACAGATTTATGTTCATTTAATTTAAAAACTAAATGTGGAAAATAATATTTAAATGATTCAAAAGGAGAAGGGAATGATGATTTTTGTAGAAGAAGAAGAATTTTAGGCTTAGCTTTATTTGAAAGAACTTTATCACTCTTAAGCTTAGGCTGGTAATGTTATCATTATGAATGATTAAGAAAGTGCTTATGCTCTATCCTCATTGCTTATAACAAAGGAGCAGTAAAGTGTGAAGCTATGACTCATTTATATTTCATATGAATAAAACATAATTGTTCTTAAGTTATTATAATGAACCAGAGCCCTTACTAATAAACCAATTACAAGTACTTTGTTCACCTTCCCGATAAACCATTATGTTGCATTATTTTTGAATACTTTTTAAATAGTTTATCTTCGGTTTTACATACTTTAAACGGTACATATTATAGTATTGCCTAATGCAGCACTCTATTTCACAACATGGCGTGGTCCAAATGGCAGAAAGTGTTCCAATTCTATCAGCATCTGTGGAAGATATCACAGTGTGCTGCGTAATGTGCAATGTGAGGGCTGCTAATGGCTGTTGCAGGGCCAAGCACCAAGAGACCGGCAGACTAATGAAAACATGGAGGGGTCTCACACTGTGCTCTTTGAAATACACAGAAAAACAGACAGCCTTGGTGAGAGGAGCATCAATGCACAGAAATAGATTTACCAGAAAGAGAAGAAGAGGAAACCTTGCTTTTACCATTACTAAATCATTGTATTATATTTGTCTCAAAGGAATGAAAAAATGTCTGGATTCATTTAAAGATGCTTCCTTAAAAATAAATTATAAATGTTTGTATTTACTTTTTTCCTGCTTCAGCCTGCTGAAAAGTGGTAAGGTTCATTCAGGTCTTGTGTGCGAGCAACATTACAGAGCAACCCAACATCACAGGTGGGAAGAGGCCGGCGGGTCAAGAGAGCAGCATGTGGTTAGAACATGCACCACAGCCACCTCGACCGCAAAAGGAGGAAAAGGAGGTCCTGATTAGCGCTGGAGACGAGACGACACCAGGTGAGTTAACAGGCAAACGGGAAATACAGAGAGTGACAAACACAGTTCCTCTACCTGAGCACCTCGGAGAGCGAGGAGTCGCTGTCATCCGACCTGGAGGCAGAAGAGGAGCAGGAGAGGGGAGGAAGGGGCAGGAAGAGGAAAGGGTTAACCACACTACGGAAAGACAGAAGGGTTACTGGCAAAGGGTTAAAAGGGAGGAGTGACTGGAGGAAGGGGTTTAGATATAAAAGCAGTGAGCAAACTGGCAGGAAAAATCTGTCAGAAAACAAAGCTTGTCCAGTGATTAACAGGCAGTTTGCCATGACATGTGCTTCTTCCCAATTAAAACCACTGAACAGGCTTTATTCTTGACCGCTGTCTGCAGATGTTTTCCTTGGTTAAGCATGTTTACTGTAAGTAAACCACAACAATGGCTGGTTAAGGGGAGTTTTCCCTAGTTGTGTTAGCGTTAAAAGTTAAATGTTTAAAGGAAATGTTAAGACTTTTCGCTTATTCTCTTCCTTGACAAGAGTTGGATGAGACAATTGGTACCTGATATCTGGTATCTGATAGTTCAGTCTACAGTTACACCCAGCAGCAGGTTAGCTTAGCTTAGCATAAAAAGGAAACAATCATGGCTCATTCTGATGGTTATAAAATCTGCCTACTAGCAACTCTAAAGCTCATAACTAAAAAGATTGTATTTTCTTTTAGTTCAAAAAGCAATGTGTGGAAACAACAATTAGTGGTTTAACAAATAAAGACATGTGTGTTTATTCTTTAGCTTTAGAAAAGCTAGCAGCTGGATTTTCTTAAGATTTTGTTCAAGCTAAGTTAGCCGTTTCTCTGTTACCAGTCTTTCTGCTAAGCTAACTTAGCCTACTGTACACTCACATTTACATCCAACTCTCGGCAGATAGTGCAAATTTAAAAGTTAAATCATTTATCTGAACAAGGTAGAGAAGAGGTTCTGAAAGAAAGAAGGAAGTAGTCAAGGAGGAAACACTGATGCCAAGGTAGTCATACAGGAGGTCAACAAACTGCACATACATTTTTTACATATATGCAGCCATAATGTATGACTTCCGTAACGCCAGTGTCTACTAACATATCTACTCCTTCCAGGCATATACAGGGATTAGTGCAGAAAGGAACATAAGGAACCGCAAACAGGGTTAACAGAAGGGAAAATCTAGGAGGCTCTGTTTAAAGCTGTCCAGGGAATGAGTTCAGACCACACCAATACAATATCTCCACTGTGTGTAACCGTGCAATAAAAGTGTTATTATATTGTAAATATTTTATAGCCTCATGTTTGTCACCATGAGAGCCTGCTGTGCTTTACACTCTGAGCATGAAATAATAAAACTAAATGGTTGTGGATGTGTCTGGAGGGAACAACAGTGTTAAAAAGGTGATTAAAATTCCTCCATCTCTTGGTATTCACGGCTGGCCACAGTATTTATTAGCATAGTGATAGCATCAGCTTTTCTTACAGACTCTCAAGAAAAAATCCTTTTAAAATTCATTGTTTTCAGAAGATGCAAATGAAATGCGAAGATTAAAAAATGGCTCTGGGATGCAAAGCCTCTTTATCCATCAGACAACATGAAAACTTGGTTTGAAATTAATTTTCCTCATTCTAATGTGTCTCTCAAATCTGTGTCAAATGCCTGATCCATGTCTCCTAGGAAGCCAATCTCCTCACATATTATACGGTCGAAAAACCGAGGCAGAATGCTCCCCAACCTCACAAAAACATTTTAATGTTTGATTTCTGTACTGGCAAAGGTTCATTGTGAACATCACAATGACTAATTTGACCCCAAATTACACAGAATTCCGACTGGCTTTCTGTATATTAATAAATTGAAGAGATTGGCTCAATATAGCTTTGAATTAATACTTGTGATGATGAAGTTTGTCATCATCACAAGGTCAGTGTCAGTAATGTAAAGAAATTGAAAGCAAAAAATAAATAATGGTTTAAATTATTAAAATTTCTGGCAAAAAAAAATA